GTGAAAGATGACTCTCTGAGCTAGTATCTTGCGAGTCCTTATATAATAATTTTCGTGACTAGACAGCAGACGCAACTACAGTATTGACCACTGTTCATATCTAGCTAGGACAGCTTACCGGCCAAATCTAATAGGAGCCTCGAACAAGGAAATATATTTAAGATTATAGATAACGTGTAGGTCTTGTATTTGCTAAGTTGGGAGCCAAAGTACAAGAATAATAAAATAATTCGAATGTTGTTGTGATAAATCATCTAAACTTTTTTGCATACATATTCTCTAAATAAATCATTATTGGAATGCTCTAAGACTGGATTTAGAAAAAAAAACTCAATCAATCTAATGTTTTAAGTTTGAATACTGTTTTTCATGAGGTGGTATATTCATCACTAATTAGTTCATTGCTTGAGTTCTTAAACTTGGATTTCTAAAAAAAGTGTACGTAATTGGATTCATTCATGTACGAGTCACTGTAATAATCATAATGCTATACGAGCCTAACAACATATTAATGAAATTTTATCGAGTGTAATTTAATCCTTATTGTTCTTGTAATTTTGTAAGTTGGTCTTTTAAGTTTTGAAAATCATAAGTTAGTTCTTTCATTATATTTGACTATTAATTCTTTTTTAAATTTCCAAATTGCCTAATGCAGTTGCAATTTTATTTGTAGCAGGTGATATTATAACATTTGACTGCAAATCAAGGACATTTTTTTTAAAAAAAAGACAATTGAATTATCACAAAAAACTAACAGAAGGACTAAGTTGAAACAATAAAAAAACTAGGACCAATATTGGATTTGTTTAAAACAAAATGGATTAACTATGTACTTCATAAAAACACAGGAATTTAAATAATAATCTACTCAAAATTATTTCTTAATATTGATTGGTATTCATCACAGCCCATGATTTTCCCTAGCCCAGAGATTGGTGAGCAAATCGATGCTTGCTACTGACTCTTCTTGCAGGAAACGGGTAACCAATATTAGATCATATTTTGAGTAAATTATATATTAGTCCCTTTCGTTTTTTGAAACAAATTAATTAGTTTCTCTGGTTCTAAAAATTAATTATCTAGTTCTTTTAATTAGTGTGGATTATAACTAATTTAATATTTTTTTATCATCAATCTTTTCATATTCAGACTTATTTTTTTCTCTTTTTTATTTCTTAAAACAAAAAATCAAAAGAAATTTAAAAAATAACAAAAGGACTAATATCTGTTTTTTAAACCAAATGAATTAATTAATTTGTTTCTTAAAGCAAGCGGGACTAGTTTATAATTTACTCATCATTTATGTGGTAACTTTGACGCACTAGACATAACATTAATTAACTCATTCTTTTTATGGAATTACAAGTATTTTCCTTTTCCGGCCCATGATGTGCAAACTTGATTTTAGGTCAACTGTAGTTACTTACGTCACTTGGATTCCGAAACACTCCAACTAGTTATGGGCTAAAAAACATGAGTGGCCTCCTTCCCATTTCGTCGAATCACACCCTTTCCTTTAAATTCGGTAAAATTAACCCCTCATCTTCCAATTGAAGGCAATTTCGAGTCTTTCCTTCAATGAATAAACGAAGATACTAGGTCAAAATTTGAAAACAGGAGGTTGATTTGAATCAATTCAAAATAGAGGATTTGGTTTGACTAAATTTGAAAAGTACAGAGACCGGAGTTGATTTTTACCTTACGATCATCCCCCATGGCTTAAGAATATCAATCATTCGACTATGGTTGCATGTGGAGGAAGTGCTCTTTTACATGCCTAATTAATAGTAGCAATTAATTTCACCAAATAACTGAAAACATCCAAGCAAGACATATGAGACTTTTGGGTGTGTACATGAATGTATTTATATGAATACATTCAAGTTTTTCCACCGACGTGAATAGCTTTGAAATTGTCAATGGGGTTTCTTATCAACACGCACAAATACTTTGACAAAAGAAACATGAAATGCAATGAACTAGAAGAAAAGAAAAACATTATACGTCCAAACAGAAGGGTTGTTGAAAAGGCCGTGCTGGGAGACACAATAGCATGTTAGGTCAAAATTTGATTGGTAATTGGGGTAATCAGCAGAAGTACTCTCTTTGACATGAATGGTGGTAAAGAGACGTGTGTGAGGGATGATAATTAGACTGAATGAAAGTGTCCTTGTAACTACAAAGGTTAATTTGCTGTAATTTTATCGAATAATTGATTGGCAGCTTTTCTAGTTGACAAGAAAGGATTATTTTATCAAGCCTAAAGAATTTTGTGTATGTCCACCGAAAAGTTTTATGGGTGATCGAATAATTGATCGGGTCAATATCAGACTGAATTAGTGTTCTGATAATTACCACTGGCCGAAGAAATCATCTGTAGGCACCTACAAAAAGCTCCTTGCATTACCCTAAGAAAAAATTGGAGTATTTATCTTCTTTTAAGGAGACGATAAAATGGAACTCTTAATTTTTTTTCCATGCTTAATTTTTCTCCAAAATTAATTTAATTATTTAGATAATTTTATTGTGCATTATATTCATATATATATATTTTTTTTTTGATATGGATCCAATTTACATAACAAATATATTGTATCGATAATAAACCTCATTCAAAACAAGATTTTGATCCTATAAGAATGAATATGAATATCCCGACAAAGCTAATATACACGTGTCTTACCTTTAGAGTGTATTAGTAAGATTGACTTTATAAGTTAAGAGTAGGATTCACTAAAATAGACTCGATCGTTGTTTGATTTAGCATTTATTGGTAAGTTGAAGCAATTTATTCCAATAGAACCCAATCTCTCGCATCTAGCTCATATCCAATTGTCCAAACATGAATGACATGGAGTGTTTCTAACGACCAAGGACCATCATTCTTCTTTTACCATCATTCTTCTTTTATAAACACCAATTTCACAATAATTATGAGAGAGCTTTTGGCATCTTTGGCCGACATTCCAACCTTTTGGATCTTAAGCAATACCTTCGAGCTCTCTTTGTTAATTCTACTTACAAACCAAACAATATCTAAAACTTCATATGTTTAGATTTTAACTCATTTGCCTACTTGGCATTTGGATGTGAGCCTTATTAGCAATGCGATCTTCTTCACGTGCCTCTCACTGTATGAATTTGTTCTATTTGATTAGTTGACGAGTTACTTCTATTATTCACAACATTAATTCTTTATACTTTGATCAATCACTTAATATGTCATCGTCTTGATATCAATACTATAAGTTCACTAGATGCAAAAGGTGTAATAGTTAAATATGCTAATATTTGCCCATTTCGCAGTTCTAGTCAAGAGACAATTCAACATTTTCTTTTTCATTGTAATGTTTTGTGGGTTTTATCAAGTCGATTTTGCTTTGGTGGAGAAGTTTTTGGGTTATGCCATGATTAGTTGATGGTTTCTTTCAAAAGTGGGAATTTTTTAGTTATTGTCAATTGTAAAAAAAAGTTTGGTTTTTAGTTCTTTATACATCTACTTTGGTCAGTATGGTTGATGAGGAATAACATAACTTTCAATGATATAATACTAGATTGAGAACAAAATTGTTCTCTAGTTTTCTACATGTTAGCTTATCGAGTGAAATTTGTGGATGATGATTTTGCTTATATAGTAAATGATTTTGAGTGATGTTCAAATTGTATTGAGATGTGGACTAATCATCTTAGATGTTGGCCAACAATTCTTTGGTACAACCCTAATCTAGGCTATTTGAAATGAAATATAAATGATTTGTATCTCAAAAAGTCTAGAATCTCGGTTATTGAAAGAGTTTTAAGAAATCAAGAAGAATTTTTTTGTGCACCTTTTCTATTTCAACGAGGATCAAAAAGTCAAATGATGTAGAAATTCTTACTATTAAAAAGGCGTTTGAAATTAGTGTCGTCTCTACATATGTTCATTAGATCAGTTGGATTATTGAATCGAATTCAGCTAATTTTATTGCTTGGATGAATAAAGAAGTTTCTTATAGGTATTGGAGACTGCGAGTCTCTTAAACTCTATTGATGTTATGATTAAATCTCTAGATCCTATTTCTTTTAGTCATATTCTTTAAGAAGAAAATGAAAAGAAAGATTTTTTTAGGCAATAATAATCTTCATAGAAATAATAATTCTATAGTTTGGTTACACTACTAACTGTTCTTTATTTTTATGATTTTGTTCTTGTATGTCAAAACTTTATAGTTTTACTAACTGTCAGCTATTTTTTTTTAAATATAATCTCGATTTTTATATATATAACAAAAAAAATCAAGTACCCCACAAACCCTTGTAATCAACCACATAATCCTTATGAGATTGGATTTTTATATATATATAAATATCACGAGACAAGATTTTGATTCAAATTAATATGCTCGCTCTTTAATTATTTATGCCCGTTTCAAGTAATAATAGACATATTGGTAACTAATGATTGCTTCAAGCCTCCAATCAATAAATTAGGTTTCCTTTTTCGATAAATTACGTTTGTTATACCCAATATATATATATATATATATATATATATAAAACTGCGTTCGTTTAACATGCCTATGCGGCTATGCCTCAATTCAATGTTCACGGAAGCAAAAAGGTCCTCCGTTCAATACCTTTTGCTTTCATCTGGATTTTAAGGCTTTTGATTTGATTCATGGCCCATTTATGAACACTTTGGGAACCAATTGTGGCCCGGCTTAATCATTGGGCCATGGTGAGCCTTGAAACAGACAACACCTTAAGCCCAAGTAGCATAAAAAACCACCGTTCAAGGCTTTCACTTGTTCAATATAGGGTACAATAATAATTAAAAAAAAAAATCATAATAACAGAATTTCCCTCCCTATGCTTCACTCTAATTGTAAAGATTAAATTAGCTAAACCACATTGTATTGGATACACTGGAAATTCTTAAACAATCCTGCCTTGATTAAACGATAATACTACTTAAAAAATTGATTAAAAACTCAAACTATATTTGACATACCAAGTACAAATTAATTCTTGCAAACGTAATTTACTATCCCAGGTAAGTGAACGTTAACGAAGTAGTCTTCCCAGTTAATTGTCTTGGGATCAAAGCAAAACGTATTGGTCTCTACGTTGTTCGCTGCAGCTGCCATTCGTAACTTTTCTGTGTTTAAGTCATCAAAGCTGCATTCAAAATTATAGGAATTAATTATGTAGATGAAATTAATGCATATTTAATTTTCTAGATTAGCAAAGAGACTAATTAAGTATTAACGTACACTCCTTGGAAGAACAAGTATGGCCTGTAGAGTTCCACTAATCGCATCACAAATTTAATCTTCCGATTGAGATCATTATACTCGTCCTCAAAATAATGGCAAAATGCCGCATTTGCTAATTCTAGTCCCTGTATAAGGGGAAAAAAAAAAAGTTACAGATTGTACATGTTTTAGAATGAGAAGGTATGTGGTGAAGTTCTGGACAAACCTTTAGCAATAGCAAGTAACGAATTGCTATATATCGGTGAAAGCTAGTCATGCTGCTCAATACTTTAACCTTACCAACCTTGACAGGCTTTCCATCCTTACCGATCCAAGGTTTTTTGGTGAAGTAATTAAGGCCAAAATCTTGAAGATTAGTGTATCTCACAGGGTTTCTTACTGAGGATCCCACTTGATAAATTGCATTATCGGATGGTTGATTAGCATGAGCCACCATGGCCACAACTATTGCATTCACCACCATGTCAGCTGGTACCTGCACAAAATCATGTCTCAACATTTCAGATATTTATTTTTCTTTCTCTTGTTTGGTATACATTCAAATCGGCTTAACTCACCAGATCAACAATTCCTGTAATATCCCCAAGAAAACATGTCATTTTTCCTTTGCCATAACCAACGACTAAGCTATCAATAGTTCTACAACACAAACAAATTGCTCTTAGAACCATTAATTTTCTCCAAACAAAATAAAACATAAAGTGCGTTGTAGCAGCATTATTGTTAGTAAACATTTACCTGAGACCTTCAACCCAACCAGGAAAAGGTTCTTTCAAAGTACTGGTAACAATGGTAGGACGTATTATGACCACAGATAAATTTTCCTTCAAATGTCCCACAAGCATTTCTCCCATTGCCTTTGTAAATACGTAAGCGTTTGGCCATCCATACACCTTTGCCCTAAACATCATTATTTTTTATCAAAATTTGATCAAATTCACAGCACATATCCATTTTTTGGAGAACAAACTCATTACTATACCTGTATATTATATATGCCGGTGATTATTTTTTTTGGGTAGAAAATAGGGTTTTACGGTCTAGCTAACAATTGTTGAAATATCTCCACCCAATTTTGGCATGCAAGAGAGAGAAAAAAAAAAGAAACTTTTCAAATATGAAAGTTGAATTCTAACCTTATAAATCAGATACACTTTGATTATCGCTTCAACTACAACTTTTTGATGGTATTTAATACCATATTTTCAGTGATACTACGTACTGCCATTATTTTCTTTGTTTCTCATTCAATAAATAAATATCACACTGACCATGGAAATTATGCCCCCCACCATGTGAAAGAGGGGTAACATGTCAGAGAAGTTAACGAGGAAGATGGGCGGGGGTCTAGCAGTCCTTTTCATCATGGGAAAAGACAGCACAAAGAGTGAATTCACTACTAGCCTCCGTATAGCTTTGTTGGATTGTGTGAAATGCATAATCTTGTAGGTGAAGGGTTCAAAGGCTGGTGTTGGTCTCTCCAGAGAAACAATGGGTGAATTCACTACACACAACTAGGCAGGACTGAACGCTTAGATCTTCTTTTCGTTGTGTGCATTAATCTTCACTATCCGAGTATAAAAAATTAACATTATTAGGTATTCTACTTATAATGATCATTCATTAATAGATTTCCCGTCTAGTCAAGTTTTTTTCTGCGAGATTATGCGTTCAATTTTTTTTCTTTTGAGTTACAAAAAAGCCATCCATTCCAAGAAAAGATACAGCGACTATTTATTTCAATGGTGACGATTAATTTAGTTTGCTGTTGTAATACGATTTCTTTTTTTGTCTAACTAATTACTAACTACTATCATGGGCTATATTAAAAAAATCCTCATAATTGTTTAAAAATCACATTTTTAATTATGTGAAAAAAAATACTACATTAAAAATAATTAATAATAATTTTTCGATAATTTTCCTTCTCATGGCATATATGCTTGGAAAATATGGAAACTCAAAATAGCGACAAAAATATGCTCACAAAGGTAATACCAGAGTGATTAATTAAGAGAAAAAAAGGAGGAGGAATATTATTACATTTAAGGACTAACCTTTCGACGGCCATGTCTTTCATGGCCTCTTTAACTGCTTCAGCTGTGGCACCTTCAGCTTTGAGTTCATTCAATTTTTTATCAACCAGTTTCTTTTCTTCATCAATGTCTAATCCGGAGACACCATTAAGTGTGTCGCCCATGCCATATGAAGTCTCTAGTATCAGCCCTGCCCTCTCCCCAGAAACATAAGCTGAAAAAAATACCACATTTCTTTAAGTTTTTTTTTGAAGAATCTACTAGCATACAAAGTATTTGCTATCTTTTAACGTGGCCAAAAAAAATTGAGGTTCTGCAACGGATATTGGAGTGATCAAATATGGATACTAACCAGTGGATACATGGACAAGAACCTTTAGTTTAACACATTTCTTGGCAAAACACAAGACATGCTTAGCTCCCATTGTGTTGATGCCAAGTGCAACATCATATCTGCATTAAATTTTAAAAAACAAAAAACAAAAAAAGGACATCAATTGCTTCGCTTTTCAGTGGAGTAAATAATAGATTAATTCCTCTAGTTTTGAGAAACAAATTTATTAACTCTCTTTGTTTCAAAAAAAATAATTATTTAATCTCTATATTTTTTAATTTTTTTTGTAACTTAACACTTTTTGGATTTTTTTCAATTTTTTTATTTCAATAAATAAAAAAAATTAATGAAAAAAGAAGATATTGTTTTTAAAATAATAATATTAAATTAAATGTAATCAATATTATCAAGTGAGTAAATAATTAGTTTTTAAAACAACACAGACTAAATAATTCGTTTATAAAAAATAAAAAGATTAATTTATGATTTACTCCTTTTTAGTTCCTAGTTTGTTTTTGTAAAAGGACAAATGATGATAATAATAATAATAATAATGATTCTTCTTCTTGCCTTCGTACCTTTCATCAAAGTTGGTTGTTGCAGCTAAGTTGATTACAACATCTAATTGACTCCACATCTCTTCCCTCAAATTTGAGTCTTCCACCCCCAGGTCGTCGTTACGAGAGATGTCACCAGGGACCAGTACAATCCTTTTGGAGATGAAGGAATTCAGATTTGCACCCCATTTTTCCTTAAGGAGTCTAAACAAGTCCTTCCTTATAATCTACAAATAAAACAAGTTAGACATAGAAAAAAATAGCTACCAAACAAATTAACTAGGTAGTTCCAAGATTCTTAATCCATGAATGACATCAAATGTCTACTTTCTCACATTGTTTACTTTTATAAGTAACAAAAATTGCTAAAAAAAGACACACATGCCTAGTATAGAGTCACTATGTTTTGTAACATTACCATCCATATTTTTTGTTTGAGTGAAGAAAGATAAGGAAAGAGAAAACAAAATTTGTGAGATGGTGCTTTTATTTTTGTGCGGTCTACTAAAATAATGTTCATTTTATTCTTTTCTTGCTTTTTACTCTCTCATAAGTATTATATACCTCATTTTGCAAGCGTTGAGAAGCAGACTTGGCATCAGCAGCTCTTAAAAGAAGGTAAATCTTCTTCACATTTGGTTGCACCCTCAATATCTTCTCCAAAAAAACTGCATTCATTGTAAGAAAAGTTATAATCATCCATGCCTTTTAATCGTAGAGAAAGAAACTAACAAAGAAAGAGAATATGCATTATACTCTTTGCTAAAAACCCAGTTGCGCCCGTGACCAAAATAGTCTTGTCCTCAAGAAACTGAACCACACTTCCAAACTCCATTGCAAGAGAGACACAGAGAGATGGAGCTGAAAACTTGTGTTGAAATCAAGTTATAGCTAAACACAAATGATTCTGCCAAAATCTCATATTAATATAGGAAGGCAGAGATAGCGGGGGCATTTATGAGGTAGACTGCCGAGGTCATTTTCTTGACTTACGTTCATCAAAGAAAATGAAACACTCTTTAACTTTCACACAACGACCCATACTTCCACTTTTTGGTTCTTTTACCGATATTCCCATCTTCGCTAAGGGGTCAATGTCAAAGACTCAAATTGGAGAAATTACTAAAATCAATGAGTATCCACCAAATCAATTACCACCACTTGAAAGCCACCTAACCAAAACACCCTTATTTCATCCTATCGAAGAGTAAATAGTAAATTCCTCTCTCTAATTTTGAAAAATAAATTAATTTATCCATCTTTTAAAAATTAATTATTTAATTTTTTTATTATTGTTGATTACACTTAATTTAATATTATTTTATTCTAAAATAATATTCTTTTTTTATCCATCTTTTTATAATATCTATTTTGTTTAAATTAAAAAAAAAAGACAAATAAAAAAAGAGCATAAAATGAATAAAAAAAACTAAATGATTAATTTTTAAAATAAGAAGGACTGATTAGTTCATTTCTCAAAGCTAAAGGTATATATATATATATAGCATTTGTTTAGCTTGCATATGCCTCAAGTCAATATTCACCAAAACAAAGAATCGTCCGTTCGATTACCTTTTGCTTTTCATATAGCCTGTGTTTATTATCTATTGTAAATTGCGAGCTTTTGACTTGTTTTTTTTTTACTTATTTTTTATATGCTTTGGCTAATTCATTTACTTTTTTCAATAAAAAAGGATAGAGTAAATATTAACAACAATAAAAATAAAAAAATAAATCATAACATACATTTCTTCTGGTACAGCAAATGAACTTGAACAAGTTTGTTCCACCAATACCCTTCACTATATTTGTGAGGATCAAATTAATTAAACGACATTAATTGTATAGAATAATACACTTGAAGAAAGTTCTTAAACCATGTGTGGCAGCTGCTAAACATAAACCTGCCATGATTAAATGATAGTACTAATTAATTATTGGAACAAATAACCTATACCAATAATCCAGGCCACTTGCCGATGGGTAATCATGATCATTTGAAAACGTATTTTACCACCCCAGGAATGTGAGCATTAGTGAAGTAGTCTTCCCAATCAATTTCCTTGGGATCGAAATAAAACATATCAGTCTCTACATTGTTCTCTGTAGCTGCCATTCGCAACTTTTCTGTGTTCATGTCATCGAAACTGCATCAGAAATGTGAAGAATTATATTCATCAAATGGTTAATCTTGTAGATTAACATCAAGATTAAGTATGTATGTATCTTACACTCCCTGGAAGAACAAGTATGGCCTATAAAGTTCCACTAATTTCATCACAAAGTTGATCTTCCTGTTAAGATCCCTGTATTTATCCTCAAAATAATGGCAAAATACTGTATTTGCTATTTCCAATCCCTGTATAAAGAAGCTAAAAAATGTAAGTCAAAAGAGTGATCGACAACAAATTAACTGATAGGTAGGTATTGTGCTGAAATTTGGAACAAATTAACCTTTAGCAATAGCAAGTAACGAATCGTTATATATCTCCTGAAGCTAGCCATGCTGCTTAGTACTTTAACCTTGCCAACCTTGACAGGCTTTCCATCCTTACCAATCCATGGTTTCTTGGTGAAGTAATTAAAGCCATAATCTTGAAGATTAGTGTATCTCACAGGGTTCCTTACAGAGGAACCCACTAGATAAATTGCATCGTCGGACGGTCTATTAGCATGAGCTACCATTGCCACAATTATCGCATTCACCACCATGTCAGCAGGTATCTGCAAAAAATTAGGTCTCAAGATTTCATTTATTTTTCCTTTCCTTCTTACCAAATGACTATACATATTCACTCATATCAAGAATTAAAGCCTGAAAATTGACTTAACTCACCACATCAACAATTCCTGTAATATCCCCAAGAAAGCATGTTAGTCTTCCTGTCCCATAACCAACGGCTAAGCTATCAATAGTTCTACAACACAAACAAATTATAATTAATTACCTTATTGCTTTTAGGATCATTAATTTTCTCGAAAATAAAACAATAAAACATTATGTATTTACCTGACACCTTCAACCCATCCAAGAAAAGGTTCTTTATAAGTGCTGGTAACAATGGTAGGACGTATGATGGCTACAGATAAATTGTCCTTCAAGTGTCCTACAAGCATCTCTCCCATTGCCTTTGTAAAAACGTAAGTGTTTGGCCATCCATACACTTTTGCCCTAAACGCCGTTAATTTTGTCAAAATTTGATCAAATTCATATATAGCATATAGGAGTATCCTGTTATATATATATATATTGGAGGGAAATATTGTTTCTTCTGAAATTTGAAGAAATATCTCCACCCATTTTCATGTCAAGTTCAATGCAATACCATATTGATAATTAATAGAAAATTGGTCCACAATAAAGACCAAAAGAATAGTTTGCCTTAATTTTCCTTCGAAAGTAATAATAGTCTAGTATCAGTGCCTAATTTATCATTATATTCTAAAATGATTCACTTATATTTTTGTATTTTAAGTGAGTTTTTAATTTATTTTTCTAGTGAATTTTTCTGAAAAAACTACAAAAAAAAAAAAGAAAAAAAAACACATGATTTACACACTCTTTTTTTCTAAATACCCTTAGTTAGCTCAACGTGTGCACACGACTTTTTTTAGAGGTATTTAAAAAAAATGGTTATATACAAGTCGGGTGATTTTTTTTTCTGATAATTTGGCTGAAAAAAATTTTTTTTTAAAGAAAAAAACTCATTTAAAATAAAGAATATAATCAACTGATTTTAAGATATATAAACACATTGAACATTAACATCATCACAACGTGGGCCATATTTCTGGCCAACAACTAACTACCTAGTAGTTATTTGTCATCTATTTCATTTCTTCTAAAAAAGAATTATTTTAATGCAAGACAACTAATAAATAATCATATGCAAGATATGCCCTACCCAATTAATAGGCAAAGAAAGTGAAGAATATGCTATTCCCTTACATGATCAGTCATATGGTTATGCATCCTTATCAGTTGTCCTCGCTAAAAAAATTTTTTTTAGTATTTTTCCGACCTTAAATAAATAATGCACATTATCTTGCAAACTATATAATCCTGTCAAACCTAAAGTTTATACTTACAATCAGCCTCCTCCATCTCTGTCAGCCCAATAGGACGAGGTTGTTCCAGTTTGGTTATAGTCCTTAAACGTTATGAACGGCTGGCTAATTATTGCCATATGGCAACGTAAGAAACAAATTAAGTATTCTTAAAAAAAAAATCATTGCCTGTAGTAATTAAATAAAAAGATATTAATGTTTTTGTCACTCGTCAACCTGCTTATCTACCCTACTTCTTTATTGTTTTCGGTGCTACCTTCATTTTTTTATATCATTAAATTAAATTCCTAAATTGTGGACCACTAATTAAATTCCTAAATTATGGACCACTAATTTCTGAACGATATATTCAATGGATCTTGATTTTTTTTTTTTCAAATTTCATTGTATCACTCTTTCTGAACATGCAAGTAGGAAATCTCAAACAGAAACAGCTATCTTCTGAATTAAAAACCGACCAATAAAAGCTTGGCTCCAAAAATTCCAATTTTTGCTTTTTTATTTTCTATATACTCAAATAATAATGGAAGCTCCAAACCTTTACCCTACATGACAAGATAATTATCTCGTACCTTATCTCAAAAGCAAACTTTGATCTGAAGTCATCTGATACTATTTTGTTTTTGGATAGTATTTAACTAGTACCAATCTTTTCTTAATTTCTTGTTTCCTTTTATTTTATTTCTTTCTTTGTTTTTGATTTTTTTTGTTTTTTTTGTTTTTTTTTTAATCCTTGACCTTGAATATGCAGTCACAATTATCTAAGTGGAAGCTTTTAGCTTTTCACCCACAAATTTTGGAGAATTATCTACTTCGGGTTAGACAATTATCTACTATATATGTCTATTTGTGTGTACAAATGAACATTTATAGTCTTTCTCCTTATTGAATTTCTACTTTTCTACAAGAGATGAAGCACCTGTTATTACAAAGAAAGCCGTATTATTATTATTTTTTTATCCAACGATCTTTTTATGCCCAAGTCTTTCATGGCCTCTTTAATTGCTTCAGTTCTGGCACCTTCAGCAAGTACTGTATATGTCTATTTGTGGGTACAAATGAACATTTATATTCTTACCTAATTACTTTTAGGTTGGAGTTGGATACTGAAAATCAATGCTCTATACCTAAGGAACAACAACTTTAATTAATACATGTCATTTTAATAGATTATTGTTGAGAAATTATTAGGTAATTTAAATTTAATGATCTTTCATTGATATTTTTTTATGCAAGTAAGAGAATACAATATTAAAAATACTTAATAAATTTTTTTCGATAACTTTCATTCTCATGGCATATATGCTTGGAAAATATGGAAACTCAAAATAGCACCATAAAATACTAGAGTGATTAATTAAGAGTTATAAAAAATGGAGTAATATTATTACATTTAAGGACTAACCTTTCCATGCCAAAGTCTTTCATGGCCTCTTTAATTGCTTTAGCTGTGGCACCTTCAGCTTGGAGTTCATTCAATCTTTGATCAACAAGTTTCTTTTCTTCGTCAATGTCTAACCCAGAGACACCATTAAGTGAGTTGCCCATGCCATATGGAGTCTCTAGTATCAGCCCTGCCCTCTCTCCAGAAACATAAGCTGAAAAAAATGCCACATCCCTTGAAGCTTTGAAAAAATCTACTAACATATAAAATATTGGAGGTGCTGGAACGGATATTGAAGTGATATCAAACATGGATACTGACCAGTGGATACATGGACAAGAACCTTTAGTTTAGCACATTTTTTGGCAAAACACAAGACATGTTTGGCTCCGATTGTGTTGACACCAAGTGCAACATCGTATCTGCATTAAATTTTCAAATGCAAAAACGGGAAATCAATTGCTTCGCTTTTCAGTCCATGGCTTGTATTGTAAAAGGAGGTAAAAAAAAAAACATTATTCTTTTCTACCTTTCATCAAAGTTGGTTGTTGCAGCTAAGTTAATTAAAACATCTAGCTGACTCCACATCTCTTCCCTCAAATTTGGGTTTTCCACTCCCAAGTCGTCGTCATAAGAGATGTCACCAGGAACCGGTACAATCTTTTTGGAGATGAAGGAATTCAGATTTGTACCCCATTTTTCCTTTAGGAGTCTAAACAATTCCTTCCCTATAATCTACAAATGGAACAAGTACTAGTTCAAGGTTCTTCATCAATGAATGACATCAATAATCAACTGTCTACTTTCTCATAATATTGTTTACTTTTAGTAACAAAATTGCTTGAAACAAAAAAAGGACATTTCCCAATATATGGTGTTGGACAGTTGAATTATTACCATAAATTTCTTGTTTGTTTGTTTGAGTGAAGAAGGACAAGGACAGAGAACATAATATCTGAAAGACAGAGACTTTATTCTTGTGTTACTTTCCTCTCATTTTTTGCCTTTTATTCCCTTAATTAGCAAGTATTATATACCTCATTTTGCAAGCGTTGCGAAGCAGACTTGGCATCAGCAGCTCTTAAGAGAAGGTAAATCTTCTTCACATTTGGTTGCACCCTCAATATCTTCTCCAAAAGGACTGCATTTGTTGTAAGAAAAGTTAAACCATCCGTGATATTGCTTTACTAAAAAAGAAAGCAAAAGGGAACGAGAGCGAGAGAGAGAAAGGTATCTACTCTTTGCTAGAAACCCAGTTGCACCCATGATCAAAATGGTCTTGTCCTCAAGAAACTGAAGAACACTTTCAAATTCCATGGCAAGGGAGAGGCAGCTAGTGATGATAATTTGTGTTTAATTTGTGATTGTTTATTGAAATGAAGCTAAACACAAATGGTTTTGCCAAAATCTAGCACCAATATTTCATATTGATATAGCAAGGTTCCGAGACAGATAGAGGAGATTTATGGTGTAGAGTGCACGAAAGTACCTATCATCTTTTTCTTTGATAGGTTGTGGAGGTCATTTACTTGAGGTTGTATCAAAATGCAATCGCACAGTGACCCACTTTCAGATTTTCTAGATTATGGTTTCTTCGTGAATGATGAAGTCTTGCAAAGCCCATCCATAAAGTACGCAAACTAAAAAAAAAATATTAGTCAAATTTGTCGCATTATCACTACATATACGTACTTGGAGGCTGCTATAATAAGAATTTTTTTTTTTATCCTCTGAAATATCACAAGACTAAAAACCTGTCACTATAAAAAAAAATTAAGAACTAACATTGAAAATCAGTGACGGATGCGAGACTATCACTAAATAGTGACAGTTTTGCAACAAAATGATAACTAATATGAAATATAAAATTTTAAAACGGAATTGTAATGGAATGTTAGCAACGAATAGTGTTCAGTCGTTAAATCGCATAAAAAAATGCATTTAATAGATTTACGGGAAAAATTAGGGATGAACTAATAATTTTGTTGTTGATTCCCTTTATTGGGTCAGCGACGATTGCTTTTTGATGCAAATAAATAGGTTCCGCCACTAGTTTCCTTCATTTCTAAAAATATTTAAAAAATAAAGCAGTAGTTTGAAATTCGAATTAATAACGAACACTTAAATTTCTCATTTATTAGCGATAGAATCTTATACATCGTTAATTCTTAGTACCTAAACCTCTAGAACCCCTTCTTTCTCCCCGTTTTCTTTTTCCTCTTCCCTCTCCTCCTCTCCCCCTCTTGTTGCCGCCGACTACACATCTCCAAAGCCACCACACGACGCAACCCCACTCCCTCCTCAGCATACTCTGACTAACGTAGCGCTCCTATCTCCCCAAAAAAGTGGATAGTTTCATTTGTCTTCTTCCTCTCCTTTGCTATCTCCAAAGGTTAGTTCTCTCTCCTTTTTTTTTCGTATCCATTAGCTATCTGTGTTAGTTGTTATATTAGTTTTGATTAATTAGTTAATTTATTGATTTTATTAGTTGTTAGGATTTTTTTGTTAATTTAATTAATTAATTTGAATTAGTGCTAATTCAGTTAGATTGATTTCAAATAGAGTTAATTAGGGTTAATTTAAACTAGTTATTAGTTGATTAATTAAGTTAATTTAATTATGATGAATTGTATTATATTAATTTGAATTTAAATTAAGGTTAATTTAAATTAGTTGTTAGTTGATTAATTAGGTTTAAATCAATTATGTTCATTTGAATTTATTAATTTAATTAATTAATCCGAAGCAGTGCTAATTGAGGTAAGTTAATTTTAATTAGGTTAATTCGATTAATTATGTGTTAAATTAAGTATGTTAATATTGATTAATTAGTGTTAATTTGAATTAGTATTAAATAAATTTAAGTTAATTTTGATTAATTAATTAAATTCATAAAATCCTGTACACATCTAATTGATTTTTAAATACGAGCGCAACTCATGGATCCAATTTTGAGACACAATACAAATCGAACTTGGAATAAAATTAATACAAATAAAATTGTAAAATATTGTTAAAGTGAACTAAAATAAATGTTATGAAATATATAATGTCATGAACTTATTATTTTCTTGTAACTAACAAAAACAAAAAACATTTCAGATCAATCTATTTATAGAAGGTTCCTTTTTCTAGGACATCAAGCCTAGGGCCGACTTTATAATATATGTGACCCTAGGCAAAATAATATTTTTCTTGACAATTTTCAAATATATTTCATTTAAATCTTTATCTTGTTCTTCTAGTATTTAGGGTTTAATATTAGTAACAAATCTATTAAGTGCACCTTTTTGGGATTGAATTAATTCGTCTACCTTTCTTTTTTCTTATATTTTTCATATCCAGATTCATACTTTCTAATAGATGTTTTATTCAAATAATAAAATTAAAATATAATTATAAAAAGAGTAAGAAACTTTGACACTTGATTATATTTGCTTGCCACACCTAATCAAGTAAACTCGGAGAGAATCACTTGAGAAAATAAAAAGAAATTTGAGAAAAAATAAAATATTATATGATTTATATACATAATTTTATTTGCATAAATTAAAAAATTACCTTCGATTCTTTTGCCAAGCTAATTAGAAAAGGTTTTATAAGAGATCCTTGATTGTTTGGAGAAAGAAATAAATATAAAAACAAAATTTGGAGATCTAAAAATTGTTTCACTCACAAATAATTTTTGAAACTTTTATGTAAATAAAAGTGTCTTACTAAAATAAAATTGAAAGCTTTTATAGGTAGAAGGTAACCGAAAAAACATCTAGAAAATGTAGAATTTTTAACGTTGAAATAATAACATATCCGAACAATGGAAGTCTTTTAATGCGGGAACTCTAATACCTATGACTCGTTAATAAGGAGAAGAATGATGTCTCATACTTAGGTGGAGACTGCATCTTCTAATTTATATCATTCTTCACGGGTGTAGATTTAGAGTAAAATTTTAATTGAGACCCCCCTTTCTATGGGGGCTCTAATGGCCTATGCCTTGAGTCAGCACTGATTAGGCCCTCTGAAGTGCTCTTCTGATTTAAGAACGACAAGGTCCATTGTAGTTGTACGCTTGTACTTGACAATGGAAGGAAGGAAGAAAGGGTTTCGTCATCAGTGAAAGGAAAAACAATGTCCAAAGCCAACCCAATAGAGCAACGTGTGAAAGTCAAGTCCTAAGAAAACAAGCCAGGAAGACCAAGACCAACAGAACAGAGCCACGTATGAATCAATTCATAAGAGTGCTGAAGACAAGACAAGACAAGAAAAGAAAAGAAACATTATTGTATTATATATCTTGTTATTACTATTAAAAAACATTATAGGACATCGATTGATGGTTTGTTTATTTAAAATGATAATTATGAATTTTTGATATGTAATTTGTATATTTTGAATAAATAATTATGTCGAATTTAAATTGTTAAATTAAATAAAGTATGTTAATATCAATTAATTAGTGTTGTTTTTTTTCAGTCTATCCAATTGAAGCATTAGTCTACTAATTTCGAGTTGTTGGGGGCAATCACAAGCAAAGAGATGAGACTTTCATCGATTTGCAGAGTTAAACAATAAGAGTGAGTATTTTAAATTGTTAAATTATACATATGCAAATATAAGCTACAAAATTATTTTATTTTTTAACATTATAATTATTTTTATTATGCAGGAATGTATGAAAGAGATGATACAGAAAGCTGTTAGGAAGCAGCAAGAAACTAGAATCGAGGAGTCACATGTCGACACAGACATCATATACTTTGAAGTTGTAGGATTTAGAAGAAGAAAAGGATTTACGGGATCAGGTCATGGGCGTCGCAGTATTTATCCCATGCAGCTGGCGTCGGCTCGTCCTCCGTATCATTACAATTCCCCTGCAACAATGCTGATGAGATTCACAGCTAGTACAAGGAGACAGTAAAAAGAATGCATGTGAGGTTAGCTGAATAGAATAATATCATCACACAGCAGCAGATGAAGATCCAAGGAATGGAGAGTCAAATTCAGTCGATTATAATGACGTTACATAGGCTGATGCAGACATCACGTTTGCCTAATAACCCCTCCACCTGTCAAGACTCCACCATCTCTTCCACTTAGCCACAGGAAGACAATAAGGGATCAGATGATCGTGATGATGAATGACTTTTATATTTTCTTTTCTGTTTTTACTCCTTTTCTTACTACTAACAAATATTTTTTTTATACATATGAATTTCAATTTAATTTATAATATTTTAATTTTAATACAAAAAATTAATTTTTATAATAAATTTTTTGTTTTAATTGTTAGTTACCATTAAGAATATCAAAATTTGTTAAATTAAATAAAAAAATTAAAAAAATTAGTGATGGACATGAAGATAAAAAAAATAATTTCTGTTAAAAAAATAGTGACAAAAAAGTATGATCGCTAGTTAGCGATGGACTATCGATGGAATAACGATCCTCTTTAGTATCGGATAATAGCGACGGATTTAAGATGAGCTTGTGATGGAATTGGGACATATTATATGGTGGAAAGAAGACAGTTTTTACATCTACTTAGCGACGAAAGAAAACAAATTAGCAATGGATAATCTGTCAGTCGAGTTAGTGACGGACACTATACATTCCGTCGCAAAGGTTAGCAATGAATTTTTTTCGATAGCAAATCCGTTGTCAAGTTGTTTTAGCGATGAAATTTGCTATGATGGTGATAGATTTTTCCGTCCCTATTTCGTTGTTTTTTTTTAGTGTGTTTTGTTTGACACACAAGACAATAACAACTATTCGGAGAGTTTTTACATACACAAGGATTTAAACTTGAGACCATTTATTTAAGTGACTAAAACCTCTTTCATTAAAATCAACTCTCTTGAATTGCTATAATACGATATTTTAGCATTGGTGTAATCACCTTTAGCTAGCTAATAAGTCAAGCAAAACTTAGGTTTAGTTTTTAAAAATTGAAATGTATTAACAACAATCAAGTTAGAATTTCATTTCTATGTATTAAAAAATAATATAAATCATATTTTGAAATCGTCTTTAAGAATTTAAATTTTTGAATTGAAATAGTTTTTTGATATAATATAAATATTTTAATAATCAAATGATCACAAATTCGTATCTCACTACTTTCATTCTCTTTTATTAAAATTAAGTAATTAAATGTAAAATAATGATAGATCTATGTAAGTTTTAAACTCAAAATATTTTTACTTGAATGTGTGTTAAAAAGTATCATAAATCAAGACTCACAAATATATATGGTTGACAGCTTAATTGTGGGAGCACACAATCATGGTAAATCCAATCCAATCTAGTTAATCAGGGGA